ACTGTCAAATTCTGCTATGTGCTTTCAGTTGCCTCCCTCTTCCTCTGCCTCTTCCTAATTACTTTTTGCTACTTTAGGCTCTATGTGAAAACCCACCAGTTGGGCATCTGGAGGGGTGTGACCTCCCGGGCCAGCATCACATTCCTGATGCACCACACAGTACTATTCTTACACTTTTGCCCACTTTTGGCACACGTGGTTGAAACACTGCTTTACAGTAATCACCACATAAGCCTACAGACGGGGATATGGTTGTCAGTCATCATCTGTAACATCCTGGTGGTCCTCCCCAAAGCTCTGTCCCCTTACCTCTATGGGCTGCGCTACAGAGAGATCACCAAGAGCCTGAGACTCCTGTGTGGCAGGAAGCAGCCTAATTTGAGGCCACCAGCTATGTTATCTTAAGAGAACTTTCTGACTCTGGCACTAACTCTCCCCCATACACATATGATGGGAAAGGCCCAACAAGGACCTCTTGTGTCCTTTGTTCTCCTCCCCACGGTGTGAGTTGCAATGCCATATCAGTCTTTAGGCTCAAACCAGATGCTTACATTGACTGCTTATTGAAGAAAGAATATTGAACTGAGAATCAGAAGACCTGGGTTGTAATCCTGGGTCTGCCACTAAAGAGCTATGTAACCTTGGGTAAGTCACCTAACCTGTCTGGCCCTGTAAAATGAAGAGGCTGAGTTAAATGACCTTTAAAGTCCTTTCTAACTTCAAAATATTATTCTTCAGTATCAGACATAGTGACAATGTGTGTGTGTGTGTATATGTGTGTGTGTGTGTGTGTATAATGCTGTAAACTGGTGCTATTAAATATCTCTATCTTGGTCAGTCACTCAACAAGCATTTAAGTGTCAGGCACTGTATTTAAGCTCTGAGAATACAAAGAAAGGCAAAATGTAAGGAACTCAACAAATACAAGGAGCTCAACCGTTTATGTGAATGGTGCTGCAGAGATCATTAGCTTTGGTGTTAGATAAAGGAAACATACAGAATGCAGGGTCATATTGATGCAGCTATAAGAGAAAAAGACTTGGGCATTCCGAAAATGGGCCACAATGACAATGACAATGTGAGGGACAGAACCATGATCAGTAGAGGCATTAATGGTGTAATGGAAAGGGCACTGGATCTGGGGCCAGAAAATCTGGCTTCAAATCCTAATTCTGCCACTTACTACATCACCTTTAGACAAGTCACTTTGGACCTCAATTTCTTTATCTGGAAAACAAAGGGGTTAGACAAGATGGCTTAGAAGGTTTATTCCAGCTCTGAAACATTGTTCTTTTCTAGAGTCAGAAGTGGCATGCATACACCTAACATATCTATAGGGTAGGAAAGTGGGCAGTGGATAGAGCTTCAGGAATACCCGAGTTCAAATCCTAACTCAAACACTTACTAGCTGTGTGAACCTGAGCAAGTCACTTAACCTCTGTTTGCCTCAGTTTCCTCTTCTGTAAAATGGGGATAATAAAAGCAACTCCCAGAGTTGTTGTGTAGATCAAATGAGATAATTGTAAAGTGCTTAGCACAGCATCTAGAACATGCTAAGTGTAAATCCTCTGGACTTAGAATCAAAGAGTCTTAGATTCAAAAGCCTCTGATACTCCTTCAGTGTATTACCTTGGCAAATCATTTAATTTCTCTACATCTCAAGCAAATCTCTAGCACTTGCCTACTAAATCAGAAATAGATTGTGATCTGTATTGATGGAAGCAATTCACACAAAATTACAGATTCTTTCATGTTTTTGTGCCACATATGTTTTAGGGACATGACGGAACCAGCTCAAACAAGCTTGTGAGAGTTAATTGTTAAATTTTTTAGTGTGAGCATTTATACCCCAGAAATTACAAACACTACAAATTAGGGCTTGGTTTATTGTTTTGTTGATTGTCTAGATTTAAAGTAGTAGAAAAATGTTAAAAAGCAGATTAAACTTTAAAAATGTGTCCTGCATACATTTTTGTAGAGCCAGTTGTTAAACATTTACCAGCTCACACTAATGATATATCACTAGTCTTCTTATTCCTTGTCTGTAAAATTAAGAGTTGGATTAAGTGACTTCTAAAGCCCTTTCCAGTTCTAAAATCCAATGAGCCACTTCTCTGCCCTGCAGATTCATCTCCTCTCGCTTGTCCAATCAGATGAAAATAGAAAAATGCAGTCCATCACTCTTAATTCTAGTCACTCATTCTAAACTAATTTGACTGATTTTGCCCCCTCAATTGACTGGTTTTTCTTCACAGATTGTCTAAGTCTTCATTTCCATAGTCACCTAGACAAAACAGACTACTGTTTGGTGAAACAATCGATCAATCAAATGATCCAGTAGCCCTGTCCTTCTAGGTATCAACATAGCCTGAGTTTAATTGATGGGTCCTAGGCCCCACAAATGTAGCCCTGATATTTTGCAATTATTAGACTTGGAGACTTAAAAAACTCTCCTAAATCCCATGAGATAGAATCATTAGGCCTAAGTCTATGAGGCCGGAAGAAGCAATTGAATGTTTTGCCTACATAACAGCAAACGTTTAGGTATTTGGAAATCTCCAAATATAGAGGCAGTAAGGAACTGAACATTAGACTTGGAATCCAGAAGACAGGTTTGCACCCCGCCCCCAGATCTGTCATTTACCAACCAAATGGCTTATAGAATGGAATTAATAATAATAGCTTACATTTATATAACTTTCTCCAAACAACCTTGTGAGATAGGCAATGTAAATATTACCCCTCTTCAATAAATTAGGAAACAGAGTCACAGAGGTTAAATGACTCTTTTTTTTTTAGATTCACACAGCTGAGAAATGTTTAAGATGGCACTTATAACTAGGTGTGATGCCAAGAAGTCTAATGGATTTTTGCCTTCACTAGGGATACACTATCTATATCATAAGAGTTATGAAGAAATTTCTATAAAACTATAAAGCACTACAGAAATGTGGGAGAATTTTTTTTTTACAATTAGCCATTTATGAAGGAAATAAGCATTTCTACTAATGATAAAGCCCATGCTGTTTCCCTTTCATTAGATGGGTTCTCCTTGATATATTGGAACAGTTAGTGTTAAATTGTTCCCCTTCAGTTCAAAGAACCTCATTATGTGCAAGGCTGCTGGCAAGACAATGGAAATAAAAATACAAAAACAAGACAATCTCTGCCCCCAATACTTTACATTCTACGGGGCTATACTAAATGACTAAGGGTATGGAGAAATGGTAACAGTGATTGTATACAATTCTACCAGAACATAGATTTAGAACTGGAAGGGGAGTTAGAGACAATCTGACCTGGGGGTTCTGAACCCCCAGTTTTTTTTAACTTTTAAAAGATATTTTGGTAATTATATTTCAATATAATTGGCTTAATTTGTAATCCTATGTGTTTTATGAATTTAAAAATATTATTCTGAGTAGGGATTCATCATTTTCACTAGTCTGACAAAAAAGGCTATGACACCAAAAAAAAGAATAAGATCCAGCCCAAACATCATCCTTTTAGAGACAAGGAGACTGAGACCAAGAGAGGGACAATGACAAAGTTAGTAAGCTGACCTGGCTAGGGTGAGAAAGGAGGAGAGGAAGGAGGAAAGAAAGAATGTTGTATTATCCCTGTGGGATGGATTTCTATAAATGTGTGTGTCTCTCTCTGTGTCTACCTGTGGATTTGTACTTCTGTTCAAATATGCCTGCAGGTATATGTATGTAGTTGAAACTTGGAGATGTGACTGGAAACACAACTTACACCAGTGCATGGTTGGACATAGAAAGGAGATGATAGTGTAGACAAAAAATATTCATAGCAACACTTTTTTGCAATGGCAAAGAACTAGAAACAAAGTGGGTGCCCACCAATTGAGGAACACCCACTTGTGAGGTATCTGAATTTAATGGAATTTTATGTTGCTTTTTAAAATGACAATTATGGAGAATTCAGAGAAACTTGTGAAGACTTGAATGAATTGATACAGAAGTGTGAAATAAGGCCTATATGTCTTCAGATATGATCTATATGTTGGCTCATTTTGCTTGACTATACTTATTCGTAACAAGGGGGGGTTTGGGGAGAGGGGTGACAATAATGTAAACAAAGAAGAAAAAGATATCAATAAAATTTTTTTTTAAAAATGAGTCCTTCACTTTGTTTCCAGTGGTTTGTTACAGATGATAAAGTAATTCAATTCAGTTCAACTCAAGTGTTTACTGACCAGAACTATGCGCTCAGTTCTGTGCTAAGTCTTATAAGATATGTGTGTTGGAGGAGTGGGGAAGTGGGGTAGAGTGGGAAAGAGGGCTAGGCAATGGGTACAAAAATAAGAAAAAGCATGGCATATTCTCTGGAGGCACTCACAATCTGATTAATCATATATAAAAAATAATAATAACATGAGAAAATATAGGACTAGATAAGTAGTGTGGACTAGAAGTATTATAACAGTTCAAAAGTAGTCTGGGAAGGCTTCCTGAAGGAGGTACAACATGAGCTGACACTCATGGGTGGGTAGAATCTGGACAGATGGAACAAATGTGAAGGGGCATTCTAAGCAGGGGCATCAGGATGAACAAAGCCCTTAACATAGGAATGAGCTAGGCATATTTAGAAGCAGTGGTCTGGCTGGACCGTGAGAGAGAGAAGACAGAGAGAAGTAGGATTGAACCATCAAGCAAAAGGACGTAACCTCTGGCCCTTAGGACCTTACAGTCTCAATGAAGACAACAGAGGCATGGGAAATTATAAAGACAAGCATTTTAGCTCACCAAGAGGCAGACACAAAATCCCCTTTAATTCCACTCATTTGAGCGCTTGACAGGTTTTCCTAGATGTGACATTGTGTTTCTGCCTTCTTTTATAACAGAAGGACAGACAGTGCAAGCATTAGCTATGTGATCAACTCACTCTTGAATTCAGACATGAGACAACTAAAACATCAATAAAGTCAACACCATTATAGAAAAGAAAATATTTAATACAAAGCTATTTCCACAGGCTGGTGGATGCCCCAGAATAATTACACTTTATGGTCAGGTAACAAATAAAACTGTCTGACAAATGCTTTTTCTGGTGCCTAAACATTTAACAGAAAATCCCAGTTTATGGGTCATTTGTAATAAAGTTAAGGACAGGGAGATAAGAGCTAAGCAAAGCTGTAGCTGAGCTATTTATAAGCCTCTGTCCTGCCATTAAGTCAAAATTACACTTCAACTCCCCCAACCCCTTCCCACCTCCAACATCTTATTCATCAAAGTTGGAGAAGTCACCAAATCAAAACAGAAGCCCACAAGGTCTAGGAATTAAAGTAAGAGAAGGATGACAGTGGTGCTTTATCCTTCCCTCTTTCACTGTTATTCACAATCAAGGGCTTTTTGGAAATCAACTCTTCTTCATATTTGGTCTCTAGAGACAAGAAAAGCAGTTAGCAGCACAGACTACAGTGCCATACACATAGTAGACACTTTATAAATGCTCATTGACTTTACTTTTCTAGAAAACGTTTCACTATAAAGAACAAAATAATTTGGATGTCTGGAGAAGTTAGTCCTTGAACCCATTTCATGTGATTGATGAGTCTCCTTACTTTAAACTCTGAGCTCCACTAACTAAGGGAAATTGTTTGAATGTCACTGGTCCTTCTTCTAGAGACTAAGCCTTTGAGAGTCTGGAGAAGCTGCCGATATCTCAGTCCATATAAGTAAGGCAACAGGGCTCTAGGAAGCAGCATCAGTATTTCACTGTTAATGGCCATCAACCATAATCGGGAATTGTTTCCAATAGGATGGCTCTTAGACAGCATAATATCCACAGCAAAAACCACCACTGGACTGATATACAGTACAATTAACATCGTATGAATCAGCAATGTTCCCTTGGCCCTCGAATAACGTTTTATACAAAGGCCTGAAGTCCTGGCTGTGTGATAAATCTTCACGTAGCAGTAGGAAATCAGAGCAGCACAGACAAAGAGAGCACAGAAGATGAAAATGTGGGCAACGGTGATCAAGTGATTGCTGTCTGAGTTTGAACTCAGATTCAGCTGCAGGATACATGGTGAGGGCTCATCTGTCAAACTAGAATCCTGCCGTTTGCTGAACCAAACCAGGAAGGTGGGGAAAAAGCAGGCCACCACCCAAATTATGGCCACTACTTTCCTGGCAGTGGCACTGGACATGAGGGAAAGATAGCGAAGGGGGAGCATAACAGCAAGGTAGGTGTCTGCCACCATGACAGTGAATGACAAGATGGTGCTTGCATAGGAGATAAATAAAGCATCAGTGAGGATGCCACAGAAAATTCGCCCGAGGGTCCAGCCAGTGAGGTTGCTTGTTGAAACCAACACATGGAACAGAAGATAGGCCAGATCGGAGAACATGACATTAGCAAAGAGCACATAACGGGGTTCACTCCGGAATTTCTTCTTCCATAGGATGGTGGCCAAGAGAAGGGGATTCAAGGCCAGAGTGGCAGTGGTGAGGAGAGTCAAAGGAATGAAGAACCAACGGAGTGAGGGCAAGAGAGCCCAAAAGGCCTCCTCAAGCTCCACAGAGTAGTTGCCCGGAAGCTGATAAAAAGCAGGTGCTAGGTTAACAACTTCCACCTGGAATGTGGTGGCCTTTCCCCACAAGTGGCTCGGTACTGTCTCTTCAGCCATGTTCCTGGGGCTAAGATCCATACATCCACAAGGAAGAAAAGAACACAGCATCAGGTTTTCTACTTTCTTGAGCATGAATCTTAAACCAGCTCAGTTGGAAGAGGCACAGACAGTCTTCGGTTCTGAAATGTCATAAGGTGAGACTGACCTAGGACAAAGGATAACTTTGTAAATTTTAAAGCAACATGCATGTAAATATGTGCTGATCATCATAGAATTACAATCTCAGAGTTGAAAAATATTTCATTTAGTCCAGCCCATATCTGATCAGAAAGCTGCCTCTGATTTTCAGCTTGAAAATCTTCAAAAGGTTATCAGCTAATCAATCTGAGAGAACAGTTAAACAAATTGAAGTTCTTCCTGAACAATTCTTTCTCTCCAAATGAAATTTCTTCATCCTCATTGAATTCGTGTCCAAATTTTTTTTTTTAAAACCCTTCTGGGGAATCACAATCTTTGCATTGTAGAGTGGCTATTTTTAGGTCAGTCTACTGAGACCCTAACCTTGACCTAAGAACTGTGGAGGAGTTAAAATAAGGAGAAGGCAGGATCTGTGCCCTGGAGAAGCCTCCAGGGTTGTTGGGAAAACAAAATGCAATCATGTAACAAGCAACTAGAGAACAGTTCAAGACTATGTTTTATCTGCACCTGACTCCAGAAAAAAATTCCAAAGCCACAGTTTCTTATTGACTTATCAGTCCTGCCATTCAAGACACCCTCCACTTACTTTTCCAGCTTTTATCACCTGCTACATACCCTCTCCTACTTGGAAAAAACAATTTTGTCATTCATGTGCTTACTCAGAGCCACGCTTGTAACCCTAAGTGCCTTCCTCCCATCAGCTACTCTTGTCTAAATCCTACCCATCTAGCAAAGCCCAGGTGAAAATCCACTTCCCTAGTGAAGTCCTCCTTGATCTCTAAGCAAGAAAGGGTTACTTCTCCCTTTCTGGGCTCCCCTAGCACCGTGTGCATCTCTTAGAGTACTAATACCCTGCTTTGTGTGATAGTGATTTGTGTATGTCTTCTCTCACCTTAGAGACCACAAAAACCTGGAAGGCAAGAATCTTGGCACCTTCTTTGGAAGCTGTGATTAGAAATGCAACTTTCTTCTGTGGGCAATGGGAGCCATCAATCTATCGATCAACATGGATTCTATTAAGCACCTACTATGTACTAGGCAATTGACTTCTGATTTTCATCCAATGTCTTACATTTTTCTGGGTAGCTAAGTGGTGCAGCAGATTGAATGTTGGACTTGGAGTCAGGAAGACCTGAATTCAAAGCTGGCGTCAGGCATTTACTAGTTGTGTGACTCTGGACAAGCCACTTAACATGTTTGCCTCAGTTTTCTCAAATGCAAAAATGGGAGTAATAGCACCTACCTCATAAGTTTATTGTCAGAATCAAATGAGATAATGTTAGTTAATTGCTTAACATAGTACCTGGCATGTATATATTGTTGTTCTTCAGTTATGTCCTATTCTTCATGACTCCGTAGACCATAGCATGCCAAGATTGTTCATAGGGTTTTCTTGGAAAAGATACTAGAGTGGTTTACCATTTTCTTCTCCAATGGATTAAGGCAAACAGAGGTTAAGTGAATTGCCCAGGATCACACAGCTAGTGAGTGCTGTCTCTCATCTAGCTGCCTCTAGCATATTTATATGGCAACCACTATATAAACACTTATTCCTTTCCCCTTCCATTCTGTATTCCACAAGGATAGTTGCTCACTTTTCTATATTACTTTACCCTGTGAGGTTGTTTGTTGTTGTTCAGTCATTTCAGTTGTGTCTGACTCTTGGTGACACCATTAGGAATTTTCTTGGCAAAGATACTGGAGTGGTTTGCCATTTCCTTCTGTAGTTCCTTTTACAGATGAAGAAACTGAGACAAAAAGGCTTAAGTGACTTGCCCGGAGTCACACAGTTAGTAAGTGTCTGGGACTGGATTTGAACTTGGGTTTTCCTGACTCCGAGCCCAGCACTCTATCCACTGTGCCACCTGGCTGCCCATGAGGTAGTTAGTCAAGATATTATCTATTTCATAGATAAACTAGGATTTGCCATCTAGTAACTGGTAAAGCTGAGATGCGAACCTAGTCCTTTTGATTTGAGAGGCAACATGGTATAGTGGAAAGGACAGCGGACTTGGAGGCAAAATGACCTAAGTTCAAATCCAGCCTCAAATACTCACTGTAACCTTGGGCAAATTGCTTAAGCTCTCTATCTCATTTTCCTCATCTGTAAAATAAGGAAACGGCCTCTTTTATCCCTTCCAGATCTATGACCCAATATTTCTAAACCTAGAGTTCTTCCCATTCTACCAAGCTGACCCTCTTTCCTATTTGTAAAATCTCTCTAATCAGATGGTTAAGTACTCTGAGGGCAGAAACTAGGTCTTTTCCTTCTCTAGCCTCTCTTAACATTAAAACTCCACTAGAACCCCTTCAATATATATTTGTTGAATTGAATCCAATCAAGTGCTAGAACTTGCAGTGGTAATTCTAAGCACTAGAGACTCATAGGTTTGTCTGGTCCATGTTTTACCTTGAAGATGCTTGAGTTTCATCTAGTGCTGTGAATCTGGGCCCTCCCTGCAGTTTTTGCCTTCCACACTAGGTTTCCACCTTTTAGTAACAGATCACACATAACACTTTGTATTTTTCCCCCACTACAAGGGAAAGTTGAGAAGGGAGGAGAAGCAAGGATGATGCAACCCAGAGAAAATAGTTTGAATGATACTTTAAAATAGTTTAAATGCAGAGAAACACAGAGAAATCAAATACAATAAGAGGAAAAGGAAAAAGCCCTAAACATTTCCCATGCCATTCCCCTTTTGGCAGTGGTCCATCACCTCCAGTAGAACTGACTACTAATATTTTACCTCCCTCCAAGCCCGGTCTGGAGCTTAAGGATACCTGGCATGCTTTCTAAGAAACTGTTAAATATTAATAACCCCAAAGGAAAGGCAAGATGAGTTTGGACACTGAAATACAGCTGTGTACACTCCCTGGCAGTAGTGAACATCCTCCTAGAACAAAGACCAGGAACAGCTTTTAAACCAGTCATTGCTCTCCCTCACCTCATTTCCCAATATAACAAAGTACCAGCTTTGTTTTCCAAAGTTATCAGAAACTATGGCTCTATCTTCTTTATGGGCCAAAAAAAGCAGTGTGGTAAAGTGGTTAGAGTGCTGTTCTTGTAGCCAGGACAACTAAGGTTCAAATCCCATTCCTGATATTTACTAGTTCTTTGACTATGAGAAAGTCACTTAAACTTCGAGTCTCAGTTTCCTTATCTATAATATATAGCATAGCATAGATAGATAGATAGATCGATAGATAGAAAGACAGACAGACAGATAGATAGATGTGATAGCAGAGATAATAATAGCACAAAATAGCACAAAAGCCTCCAAGAACCTAATGCTGGTTTTCAATGCTTAAAAGAGAAAATATAGAATGAGCTTTGCAAATTTTAGAGGTTTATATAAAGCTGAGCTTTTGATACTGTAAAACCCACATTTATAATCATTTCACAGAATCACAGGATTAGATGGGAGCTCAGAGGTCATTTATCCAATTTCATACCATAACAGCAATATCATCTGCAATGTCTCAGACAAGTGGTCATCTAGTCTTCATCAGAAGATTTCCAGGGCAGCTAAGTGGTGCAGTGAATAGAGTACCAGCCCTGGAGTCAGGAAGACCTGAGCTCAAATCCGGCCTCAGACACATGATAATCACTAGCTGTGTGACCCTGGGCAAGTCACTTAACCCTGACTGCCTTGCCAAAAAAAGAAATAAATATATAACAAGAATATTTCCATGGTGGGGAACACAATACTGACCAAATCAGCCCATACCACTTCTGGACAATCAGAACTGAGAAGTTTTTTCTCATATTGAAAAAAAATATCCTTCTCTCTAACTCTGATCCATTGCCCATAGTTCAGCCCTATAGGAAGAAGCAAACAATTCTAATCCCTCTTCCATATGACAATTTTCAAATAATTATAGATCACTATGATGTCCCCTCTAAATCTTCTCTTCTCCAGGCTAACCACCTCCAGTTTAAGATGATGATATTATTTTATACAAATGTTGATATATCTTCTGCCTTTCTTCATAGTCATACCCAGAACCTATCCTCCTTGGAAGGTCTACCATAAGATCATAGAATTAAACCTAGAAAAAGCCTTAGAGGCAAGTAGTCTAACCCTGTCATTTTACAGATAATAAAACTGAAGTAAAGTGATTTAATCAAGTCAGAGATGCTAATGATACTTCTCTCTGAAACTCTATCAACTAGTTTATTATTAAATTAACATAATTCTAAGTTCCTAAGTTATTCACATTAAATTTTGAGGGCTAAAATCACCCATTTGCTTTACAATCACACAAATCTTTGGCTTCCATAAACCATATGACTTTACACATACACACACACACACACACACACACACACACACAAGCACACTGTTCTGATCAACTACAATACGAGTTAAACCTGGTCTTGGATTCATCCAATCATTACACATATCTCTGTTGCCCAAGTAGACACTGACTCAGCCAAAATGACCATGTTGGTTGTGCATGTATAGACTCAGCCCAAATCCTGGGAGGCAGCCAACATCTTCTAAATATTTCAAGTTACTGACACATAGTGTGGTGGAAAGTACACTGGACCTAGAACGAGAAAACCTTAGTTCAAATTCTGTCTCCAGGAACGTTACTACCACTCTAAACTTTAGTTTCCTCGTCTGCAAAATGCTAAAAATGATTCTTGTGCCACTCAGAGATCAGAGGTGATATCTATGGAAGAGCTTCATAGCAATATGACACCATTGTTATATTACTAAGGTAATTATTCTGGAATATTACCCAGAAGCAAGAGTTCTGATTGTCTGAGTGCATATCAACAAAAATAGCTGTTTACATAACTGCTCTAAAGTTTACCGAGTGTTCAATATTCTCATTTGAGCCTTAACGACAATCCTATGAGCTAGGTACTAATGGAGAGACAGGGCGTGTGTGTGTGTGTGTGTGTGTGTGTGTGTGTGTGTGTGTGTGTGTGGAGGGGAGGTAGGAAGAGGATCTATCCAAAAGCAACTTACATTTATATAACCCGTTAAAGTTTGCAAAGCCTTTTATGTACAGTATCTTAATTGATCCTCCTAACAATCCTGTGATTATTATCCCCATTATATCCTCATTTATTACTTTTATTTATTATTACTTATTCATTGTCCCCTATTGTTACCCTTATTTTATAGATGAGAAAACTTGAGTGCAGCAATATTAAGTAAGTTGCCAAACATCCCACAACTATGGCTGAGGTGAGAGCTGCAAGAAGGTCTTCCTGATTCCAAGGCCTATACTCCATCCACTCTGCCTCCCTAGATGTGTTACTGTACCCCAGAGAAAGGAGCTAAAGTTTCAGAAACCTCAAACTTGCGAGCAGCCTCTCAAACCCCAGCAAGAACAATCCCTACCTGTCCTGTAGTGTCTTCCTAGGCTCCATTTTGCTTCTTTAAAAGAAATGGTTTAAAAGAAACATTATGCAAACTCCCTCCCCTACTGATTCGAAGTTAGAAACTCTGGGAAGTCCCCTTGGGTGGTTAGGCTATTTAGGGCTGAGCTCTCACTTCGGGGAATGGGAGCTCTGACTCCCCCCCCTCCCCCCCACCCCAGCAGTGGCACATCTAAAATGTAGGGTCTGTCAGCTTCTCTTTGATATGGAAATAGAACAGAGTCACTGAATACAAAATTTATGTCAGAGTTTGTCTCCTGGGTAAGACAGAGTGCTATGGGAAAAACTGAAGGAGTGGAAGCAGGGGACTTAAATTGAAATCCTGGTTCTGCTCCTTAACTTCCTGCATCCACTCATTAAAGTTATTTCCTTTCTCTGGACCTCCAGTTCTTTATTAGTTAAATGAAGGAATTGGATTAGATTGGGGGGGGGGGGTGTCGGGTCCTTAATCTGGAATCTGTGATTAGATTTCAAGAGGTCCATGAACTTGAATAGGAAAAAAATTGCATCTTTATTTCAATACAATTGGTTTCTTTTGTAATCCAATGTATTTTATTTTATGCATTTAAAAACTTTATTCTGAGAAGCAGTTGATAGACTTCACCAGACAGACACACACACACACACACACACACACACACACACACACACACACATCTACACACAGTTAAGAACTCCTAGACTGAATAATCTTTAACATCCTTTCCAACTTTATTTAAATTTCAAAACCCTGTCCCAGGAGTCATAAATTCTGATCAATCATTTGAGTGCAGTCTGAAATCCCTTTCTCATACAAGGTACATATCCATAGTAAGATACCCCAAGTCACCTCCATATTGTCTGTCTCCTGACTTCTCTGGCATCCTTCAAGGCCCAGCTAAAATCTTACCCTCTATGAGAAGCCTTTCCCGATTTCCCTTCATTCTAGTGCCTTCCCTCAAAAATTCTCTCCAATTTATCCTATCTATATCTTATTTATACACAGTTGTTTAATTCATGTTTTCTCTCTCCCATTGGACTGTGAACTTCTTGAAAACAGGCACTGGTTTTTGGCCTTTCTTTATATCTCCAGCACTTAGCAAAGTGACTGGCACATAGCTAATGCTTAATAAATCATTCTTCACTGACTCCATCTTCCTTTGGGAATGCTTAACACTGCCTAAGACCATGTTGATCTGACTGGTGGGCTAAGAAAGAAACAGGAGAAGATTACTCACGGTGCCATTTCTGAGTGCTTCAGCAAAAGGTCCAGGATACTAGTTTCAGGGACTGGAATTTGATCTGCTCACCCTAGCAGGAAAGTAAACAACAGGCTCCACTCTTAATCCCTTCCAAACCACTGTGGCTTCTGGGGATGGTTCTCTTTCCTTGAGCAATTTGGGGATCAATGCTCACCAGTCAGCTAGGCAGGGATGGAGTGATCATGCTGCATAACAAAGACAGCCAGTTGAATAGTAGGATTACAAACCTCATCTGCAGCAGCTGATAGAGGTAACCCACAGCAACAGCTTTCCATCACCCCAGCCCAGAGCTTAGGTCACTGAGTCAACACAACCTGGTGTGAGGAAGAAGCATTTGACTGGTGAGTAGTTGATTTCCGAGGGAGAAATGCTCCGGTGCTCTGGTACGCTCATAGGCTCACTGAATTCAAAGTAGGGTGGTACAGAGAATCAAGTACTATTTTGGAGAGTCAGAAGACCCTTATACAGAAGCTAGCTCTGACACTTACTAGCTATATAACCCTGGGAAAGTCATTTAACCTCTCGGAGTTTTCAGGCTTCTCACCTGTAAAATAATAATAATAATATTTTATCTGACCCCTAACACTCCACAGGACTGTTACAAGGAAAGCACTTTGTATTCTATAAACATGAATTTTTTACAATCAACCAACAAATATTTATTAAGCACCTATTATATGCGCATCACTAGGGTTGCAAATACAATGAATGAAATGACTGCTCTCAAAGGGCATACATTCTAATAGGAGAGGCAATAAGTACCTATACAGGGTATCCAAACATGCTCCATGGGTGTAAGTTTGTGCTCTCACATAGGTTTTTTTCATGTCGGTTTTATATAAGCCCACATGAGTTGTCTAAATATGGTTTATGGGGAAGCATGAATAAATCCTAGCAATCTCACCCACCCCTCTTCAAGGATGACTTTGGTTCTTGACTGGAAGGGAACAGGAAATTGTCCCCACAAGGCTGGCCACTCTGCTCTCCTCAGAGGGAACTGTACCAGACTAGAATTACACCTATCTGTCCCACCCTAGATATTATTAATTTAAGGAAAAGTGATTTTTAGGTTCAAGCTGTTTATCTGGTTGCTAACTCTTAAAGGGGAAAGATTATCCCATATTTGTAGCCAAAGACCTGGTTCCTTCCCACCAAATGTTAGTTATACATAAGACCATCAAAAATAGTGAAGAGTGAATAAATCCATTTATCCAGGCAATAACAAACAGAACTCAAAGAAGTTATATAGATTAGAATATACCAGAAAATACTCAGAGTGAATCCCAATGGGAATGAAACATCTCAGCAAGAGAGAGACAGAGAGAGTCCAATTTCCCAAAGTTTCTAGGGAAGCAAGCTGGAAATCAGGAACATGTGGGGTCACTGGTTCCTCCACATGTCTTCTGCTTCCCAGATCCTTTTCTCTCTCTCTGGGTTTCTCCAGAGGATCTGAAACCCCATGTGTTTTCTCTCAAAACTGAAGCAAGAAAAGATGTCTTTTCTCACGAGCCCTAACGCCAACTCTGCCCTTCACACAGGTATGTAGTATTGAGTCAACATCCTCTTTAACAATGGAAAGAGTCTTATCCAAATGACTCAGGCTTGACTCTGAGTTATATAAACATAGATAGAATAAATAAAAGAAAATAAATACAAAAAAGTACAAATATACATAAAAGGTAGTTTGATAAAGAAGGCACTAGCAATTGAGGGGATGAGGATAGGGTTAACAAAGTAGGTGGTGCCTGAGTGTGTCTTGAATGAGGAGATCAATTCTATGAGGCAGATATGAGGAGGGAGAGCATTCCAGGTATGGGGAATAATTAGTGAAAAGGCATGGGTTCAGGGGATGTGTGTAAGGAACAAAGAAAAAGCTAGTTTACCTGGATCACAGAACATGGAAATAGCAATGATTCCCATTGATAGGTTGAGGCCAAGTTGTGAATGACTTTAAAAGCCAAGCAAAGGAAGTTATATTTTATTCTAGAGGCAATAGGGAGCCACTGGAGTTTATTGAGTAGGAGAGTGACATGGTCAAATCTGTACTTAAAGAAATTCACTGAATCTGTTTAGAACTAAAATGTACAGGTATGGTGGCAAATGTGAGAGGGGAGACAAGGGAAGAGGTCGGATATAACAAATGTGAAGGCAAAAATGGCAAGGTTGGCAATTAATTGGATGTTTGGGATGAAATAAAGAGGAAATCTGAGCATAATATCAAGTTTACAAATGTGAGAGGCTAGAAGAATGGTGATGCTTTTGACAGAAATAGGGAAATTTGGAAGAGGAGTGGGATTGAGGAGGAAAGACAATGAGCTCTGTATTGTAGATGTTGAATTCAAGATGACTTCAGCACACCCAGTTTGAAATAGGCAATTGGTGTTATAGGACTGAAGCTCAAGGGAGAGAATAGTGCTGGTTTTATAGATTTTGAAGTCATTGGCCTAAAGATGATAATTAAATCTATGGCTAATGAGGTCACCAAGAAAGAGAAAGTGTAGAGAGAAAAGAGAGAAATTGACACGTGTTTGTTTCTCCTCTCCATTCAAACCTCAACCATCCCACTCTGGGCCTCAGTTTCCTCATTTGTAAGATAAGGGAGTTGGGCTAGATGATCTCAAAGGTTTTTTTCCAACTCTTAACATTCTATAACTCTATTATGTGACCATAATCTTATAATCTCATGCCTAAATATTGGCACTTAGTAATATTTAGACATCCCTGAATACATAGTCTCTCCTTCCTCCAATTAATCACAAATTTGAAGGGACTTCAATAGCTATTTATTCCAACCCATACTTGAAAAAGAATCCCCTCTGACAACTCACCTGTCAAGTGGTCAAGCAATGTTTGCTTGATGACTTCCAGTGAGGAAGAACCCACCCACCTCCCCAAAGCAGCCCATTCCATTTTTGGATAGCTCTAATTGTTGGGAAGAGTTACCTTATAACCAGTTGTAATAAATGTGATTTTTTTAAATATGCTGTTTGATGTTGGAGTTATAAGTGATAGGACTCCAATATGAAGTCACTTAAGCTAACTAGTCCTAATGACCATAAACATCTAAGCAGTAACACACAGCCTGTAGTTTTCCACTGCCCTGACTCATTGTGATCCTGTGAATAACCTCCACTCCTGACTGGCCAAGGTTCCCAACCAACTGCAGCAGCTATGCAATGACACCCAGTTCTGGAAGCCCCAATTACCAATTCAAATCCCCACCCAATTTCTGGTCCCAATTAGGAAACTCCTCCACTTGAGTATGGTATTGATAAGCAACCCCGGAGAATTTCCCTACCACATCTGAGTCCGATTAAGAATGCCTCTTCCCCCTTCTTGAGCATGAAGGAATTACAGATGCCCTGGGAATCCAGGTGAATAGAAAGCCAAATCTCCAAAATTTTACCCTCAGCCGTGTGGAAAAACCATAGAACATATAATGTGTGTCAAAGTGATGTTTTAGAAAAAAATAGTTGATCTTTCTCTTACCTTTGTACATTTCACAGCAAGATTTCTAGTAATATACACAATTATGCCAAGCTCATGGAGATGGGCTTCCCTTTTGTGGGGCTGTGTATGTGTGTCTGTCTGTCTGTCTGTCTGCGTGAGTGTAACCATTGTTAGAAGGAGATCTGCCTGCTGAGAAGGAAGGGTTAAGTCATAAGGGCACACATGGGAGGCGATCAGGGAGGAGGCATTATGCTTCTTGCTTTGCCCAATTTTACTTTAAAGTAGCTAATGTAACAGGGCACACTTCATATGTGGTGCTAAAATCCAGGTCACCATGAACAGGAGTTGA